AAGATGGTTCTCTCCGGTGACACGTAAACACATGTTATGCTATCACTTCCATAGTAAATATAAATTTAACCTGCCGTTTAATGAAGTTGAATTACAATATGTGAGAGAAGAAAAAACAAGTTGAATTCCAATACCTGTTAATTGAAGCAGTTTCCCAAATAATTGATGGCCTCATTCTCGTTTCATCCATCTCTCTGCATAATTTCATTTTGATGCTTCTAAAACAAATTAAAGCAAGGAGTGGAGTTTGTCGCATTCTGTTCTCACATGGCTCCTGGTAATATCCATAACACCAGGGCAGCCATAGAGGGCCATAGTGAGCTTAAACTCATCTTTCAGCATTTCGATAACCCGTCTCACGCCCGTTCCATAGATTAAAGGCCTTCCAACCTGCAGCAACATTAGCCTGTATTTCAATAAGAAAATCCAAAATAATATAAGCAGTTTAAGGGTTCATATCAGAAGGGCAACTTTCAAGGCTCGGATAAGGAGGAGAAAAATCTAGCAGCAGAATGAGCCCTGGCCCCAACAAAATCCTTGAAAAGCAGCCCTTGATGGATTTTCACTGCATAATCCTCAGGATATGCCATGTGTGCTTACTGGTTTATTCCATCTCTTGGAGTCTTTGAGCCCTTATATAACTCGTGCCGGTCCATCATTGAAACACAGGCAGGAGCATCTATACATACTAGAAGAAGTATACTTGTCAAATAAGCAAAGCAGTCATAGGGCTCCGCTTTCTTGGCAGGCACTAGTGACTGATGCAGCCACAAATGTACAATCACTTTCATTGACCTGCCAAACAAGAGTTGCCCTACGATTGCTTTGGCTTAATGAAATTTGCAGCCTGTCTGATCATGTAGTAGAGCCCTGTCATGCAAAACATAGGCTAGCCAAGGATATACGTAGGTTTTGTCATATTTGAAAATAATGGTAGAGGTAGAGCTATAATACTGAAGTTATTTTTGTTGTACAAAGTTGTTCTGCTTTGTGACTAAGCAAGGGAAATAGTGTGATTTTTATATAGGTGGAATGGAAGGTGGAAGCCATATATACAAGCAATTACTAATTTCCCTGATCCCTTTTGTCAGTTGTGGCCATATAGCTTTGTCTGAGAGGATGTTCTTGCTATGTG